TATAAACAAGATAGAGAATAGGTTAAAAGAAAATTGGGTGGCTCCCATCTATATTTAGCTGGTCACATATTAACATATGTACCATATTAAATTAAACAAGCTATTTAGACACAAAATGTATTTGAAAACTTGATAGTGCCTTAGGTTTGCAGAAAGGAAACCTGAATAGATTTGCATACTTGAATTATGAAATATAGAAATATTAGTTTTTTACTTGATAAAAATTAAGAATATTGTTTTTCACTTGAAAAAAGCTAGCAAAAACATTTAGTTATTATTCATATTATTGTATTATAATTATTGTTATTATAAATATTGTTACCATTATTTCAATATAATTTAGTTTTATGATTATTATAATAATAATTGTTAATCATTATTAAGCATTTATCAATTTCACAGTGAGTGGGCGTTTCCCTCAGTTTCAAATACAGGAAGCCCCTGTAGTACTGTGTGCTTTACATTACAGTAAGTGCTGGTTTGGTTCTGCACAGTGTTCATACACCTTTACTTAGGAGAAGCTAATGTACAGGAGGAGGAGAGCTGCATCTCCTGCCTGCTAAACTGTGCATCTGTAGCACTGCTTCCTATTTATGGTCTTATATGCTGGCCAGGAGAGGGCTGGGCCCACTCACACAGAACACAGAGAGAGAGAGTGAGAGAGGGGGGTAGAGAGACACACATGAGGAGACCTGAGGGTGTGTATATACTGCCCCCTAAGGGTGAGAGTGAGGACAGAACAACTATCAGCTGTTAAGGTCTTGATTTCATTGCCAAGTTAATACCAAGCCAATATTTACTTTTTGAAATGAACAAGGCTATTTTTGTTGTTATATGTTATTGGATTGTGTGCTCTGAGAAACTCCTGCACGTTATAATTTTTTTTTATTGAGGATCATATACACCTTTTATACCAGGGAGCACTGTTTAAGTCTGTCAGTAAAGTTGGCGTGAAAGCATGTTTTTGTTCTGTATCAGCCAAAGCCAATACTAAGGGAAGGAAGACAGCATGTTGAAGGGATGGTCTTAGTTTGGAGATGAGAATGAAACAACAGTTGTTTGTTAGTGTCAGATGGATTGTTAAAAATGTTTTGTAGAGTTGGAGTGTATGGAACATTTAGACCAGAGAAAGTTAGGCAAAGGTGGAGTAGCCTATTGGAGAGTGAGAGGAGATGGCAAAAAAGGGAGGTTTTGAGAGTGGAACTAGAGACGGCACGATTGGTGCCATGAAATGAAGGACTGCAGACAGTTGAAATGAGGGGGAAATGGATGAAGACATGGTAGGAAGCTCTCGAGTGGCACACCGGAACAAGCCTGTTCTTGATTGGAAGGGCTGCAGACGGTTATCATTCTGATAGGTCAAGAGTTGATCACGAGGGAGCAGTTTGGTGTGCTGGAATGTTTCCTGTAAGGGCCATCCTGTTGTTAAATCCAACTAGATATTTAAGTCATGATCAAAGACTTGGATCAACCTAAATGCACTTTTAAAAACATGTTCCATAAAAGCTGAAGGGGATGGTGATCAAACGGGGTAGATGGGTTTTCTAATGTTTTATTTTTTTATTATGATTTTTTTTCTTTAAGTTATTTGATATTCGCTGGGCTGGATTCCCACTTAGGGTGATGCACAATGACTAGAAAGCATTTCCTGACCAATTAGTAGGAGAAGGGTTTACCAACGTGGAACCAAATCAATTGCAATGCAAACCTAGGAATGCTTTAAAACAAATCACATCTAGACTTGATTCTTTGATTACATCCATTTAACTTGAATTTTATTTTTGCCTGCTTCATATCCAAATCAATATGATGGTCCTAAGAAAGGATTACACATCATAATGTTTTTTTCTGGTTCATTGTTTTTTTGCATTTCGTTTTGCTCCACATTTCAGCTTGTTTGTCAGAAAAAATATATTTTCCTTATGGGGTGATACTATGTCAAAAAAAAAAAAAAAAACATACGGTCTTACATTTACATTTTAGTCATTTAGCAGACGCTCTTATCCAGAGTGACTTACAGTTAGTGCATACATTTTCATACTGCATACATCTTTAAACCTATAGGCAGAAAACTTTGCTCTTTACTTTTGGCATGCATGTTCAACAATGCGGAAAGAACTTAGAACCTATTTGCTTGTTTTTCTCATGAAACGCAATTTTCTAAAAACAGAGAAAAGATATGAGTAAGCCTTTCAAGTTTTGTTTATGTTAATTACTTACATTAATTACTTAAATTAATTTCTAAGTGATGAAAGCCAAAATAGATCTGTTTATGTTTGATATCTTTTTCTTGCTGCTATTAAGCGTTTTGTTTTTCAATCTTATAATTGTGATATTCACTTGAGTGTGCTGCTAAATTATGAATTTTAAAGTATCCTATTGTTTCCTTGCTTTTTCCTTGTTGTATGTAAACTGTAGAGAGTGGTAAAGTAAGAAAGTGGGACATGTCGTGGACTGGAAGTACCATCTGCAGTTTTCTCAAATAGCATGTTTTACTCTCTTCTTTCCATTTATCTGGTGTTCTGTCGTTTCCTTGCTACATTCTCCCATTGAAATGTTGTTGTAACTCAGGTTCATTGGACAATACCTCACAACTCAGCAGTTTTTTCAGGGAGTTAGAGGAATCAAATCTGACTCTGATGCATTTTGATAGGTTATAGAATTTTTTCCTGGATGAGAGGCAGGAGATCCACGTGGCACCTCCTCTCTTTATACAACAGAAATTATTTCTCATCCGTCAGATTACATCTGTCGTTGGCCAAGTAGAGTACCATATACCAGTTATTTCATATCATACCTGGTGCTAAATAAAAGACGGCTATATAAAATGTATTTGGAAGATTAAAAAACGATATATTTGTATATTATTTTTCCTACTTATGAGTTACAACTTAATTGGCACATTAGGATCAGTGTATTGGATTAAGTGGAATTAATTTTGTGAGGTACCCATTTAGTCAGAGTTTTTTTTAATCATCAAAAAATAATGTTTGTGTGTAATCCTTCAGTGTGGAAATCTGTGGGTTTCCAGTTTGTTTTGACCCCCACAACTGTCAACCACATGTACCTCAGAAGTGTCTGATCTACAACTTCTGTTCAATAAATTTGACCCCCAAAAAAAGAGTGAAGCATCTTTATTGGCTAGTAATGTAGCGGTCTTCTTTTCTGTGCTGGTTAAGGGAAGGTTAACCTCATCGCCAGGCTCAAATTGATGGTGCATAGAGAGCTGGCTGGTGGATGAGATTAAGGGAAGGTGACGTGTAGAATGATTGGGTTGGTGGTGGTGTACTGTGCAGTCAAGTAACTATGCAGACCCATATGAAGGTACGTTAAAGCTTGAGGGTGCTAAATGGCTTCTCATTTGATTGAAGATATACTGTACCAAAAGGCTATTGTGTTAGTCTGCAGCTATAGGCTTATCTGACACCTAGTGGCTGTGGGTTCAAACTTTTTATGGGGGGAGATCCTTACGCCAGAGCCACAGACTCCTTCACACTTGCTACTCTTCTCTTTGTAATTTTGACATCGAGAGTTGCAGAAACGTATACAAAAGCACAAATAGATGATAATTGAACCCACAACCTCTTGGCTGTAAGTCAGTGCTTTGACTATTAAACCACCAAGTCTGTACCCCTTTCCTGCAGACAAATGACCTAGTGGCCTCATGGGTGGAATCTTATTAATATTTTACATAATTTCATAATGAATGAATATTATTAAAAATATAATAATCTGGTGTTTCTATGTCAAACAGTTTTGTGATACTTCAGTCTTCTGTGATGTATATAAAGGGTCATATTGGGAGGAAAACAAAAAATATATACATTTCAACTCAACTGACATGGTACAGGTGTCTTCTTTTTTTAAGTCCATAACCATGTGTGTGAGGTGTATACTTTTGTTTACATTTACATTTTTTAGCAGACGCTCTTATCCAGAGCGACTTACAGTTAGTGCATACATTATTCTTTTTTCTTTTTTTCATACTGGCCCCCCGTGGGAATCGAACCCACAACCCTGGCGTTGCAAACGCCATGCTCTACCAACTGAGCTACCTCCCTGCCGGCCATTCCCTCCCCTACCCTGGATGACGCTGGGCCAATTGTGCGCCGCCCCATTGGTCTCCCGGTTGCAGCCGGCTACAGCAGAGACTGGATTCGAACCAGGATCTCTAGTGGCACAGCTAGCACTGCGATGCAGTGCCTTAGACCACTGCGCCACTCATGTTTCAAAGTAGACTTGTTTAAGAGTACCAAGAATCACTCTGTGACCCTGATTTAGTCCACTGCAGTAAAAGGTTAATGATTCTTCTTCCTCTGTTGTATGTTTGACATTAAGAGTTGCAGAAATCCACACTAAAGTGTAAGAGTTGAGGATTGAACCTACACCTCTCAGGTGCAAGGTATGGTTTTAACCTCAGAACCACAGACTCCGGCATGCTTTCTATACTCTTTGTAATTTTGACAAGGAGAGTTGCAGAAATGCACACACAAGATGATATTTGAACCTACAACTGTGGTTTAAACCGCAGAGCCACAGACCTCTTTACACTTCTTACAATTCTCTTTGTATATTTGACATAGAGAGCTATATATTTGACAGAGAGAGTTTAGGAAATGTAGACTAAAGCACAAGTTGTTTGGGTATTATATCTTCTCACTAACAATTACAGTACTGAATCATCAGGGGTGACATACTAGTAATGAGTAACTACTATATAGCACCCCCCTCTACTAGAGACATTTAGGCTAAACTGATTGCTTTGTTAATGCTTTGCCTATAATCTCTGGCATTACAGACAAAAGGCATTTTGAGTTCATGAAATTATTATTCTAGACAATGTTCTAAGAATTGTTACATTGTTCAAAGAATTGTGTTTGATCGGGGAACAATCTTAATAAGAGTAACATTTGTATTTGTAGTTAACTAGAAATTGTATTATTCATTTCTCACCTTCTGCAATGCCATTGGTCTGTTAGAGTAGACCTCGTCATAACGTCATGTCCACGTGTCACAGAACTAGGAAGAACCTGTAAACATTGTCTGCTTAGCCAGAACATCTTTGTCTTAGCCTAAAATGCTTATATTTAGCTTGACAGTTGTTAGACAGTAAGTAAATACCACCACGTTTCTGTTTTGTATGCTGTTTAGATGCTGTATGTATAATATATTTCATAAAATGTGCGTAGGCTGCTGCATACGTGACAACTCGATTGAACCACTTCAAGCAAAGCTATCCATTGCCGACAATATTGGCTAGCAAGCGTGTTGCCTATTCAAATGTATCATCCAACATTATTATTCTGTGCCAAAGCGGTTGCCTGTCTAAGTCCATAGGTTTCTTATTCTGTCACTATTTCGAACGAGTCTCACCCTGAGTGTCCTCTACATAGACCGCATATAAAGCCTCTCTCCCGTGCAGCCTCGTTGAAAGACATGCAAGTGATCAAAGCTAGGCTACTAAGTTAACGTTTAAGCTATTTGTGCACCTCTAGAATTTCTCTGATGTGTTTCCTCAGAAAAATGCTGCGCATGTACCTTTCAAAATGATTCTCTTCTCACTTTCACAGTGGGGAGACACAATACAACAAGGACAAGTTGCTACAAGGTATGTTGAAAAGCCTCTGTCATTTTGTAAACATTCCAACCTTGACCAGTAATGACCTTCACTCGGACATCCTGTGTGATTTAAAACCAAAGGCTGTAAGAACTAGCTATAAACCTTTCCTTGTTGCTCATGTACAGTGGGGGAAAAAAAGTATTTAGTCAGCCACCAATTGTGCAAGTTCCCCCACTTAAAAAGACGAGAGAGGCCTGTAATTTTCATCATAGGTACACGTCAACTATGACAGACAAAAATGAGAATTTTTTTTCCAGAAAATCACATTGTAGGATTTTTAATGAATTTATTTGCAAATTATGGTGGAAAATAAGTATTTGGTCAATAACAAAAGTTTCTCAATACTTTGTTATATACCCTTTGTTGGCAATGACACAGGTCAAACATTTTCTGTAAGTCTTCACAAGGTTTTCACACACTGTTGCTGGTATTTTGGCCCATTCCTCCATGCAGATCTCCTCTAGAGCAGTGATGTTTTGGGGCTGTCGCTGGGCAACACGGACTTTCAACTCCCTCCAAAGATTTTCTATGGGGTTGAGATCTGGAGACTGGCTAGGCCACTCCAGGACCTTGAAATGCTTCTTACGAAGCCACTCCTTCGTTGCCCGGGCGGTGTGTTTGGGATCATTGTCATGCTGAAAGACCCAGCCACGTTTCATCTTCAATGCCCTTGCTGATGGAAGGAGGTTTTCACTCAAAATCTCACGATACATGGCCCCATTCATTCTTTCCTTTACACGGATCAGTCGTCCTGGTCCCTTTGCAGAAAAACAGCCCCAAAGCATGATGTTTCCACCCTCATGCTTCACAGTAGGTATGGTGTTCTTTGGATGCAACTCAGCATTCTTTGTCCTCCAAACACGACGAGTTGAGTTTTTACCAAAAAGTTCTATTTTGGTTTCATCTGACCATATGACATTCTCCCAATCCTCTTCTGGATCATCCAAATGCACTCTAGCAAACTTCAGACGGGCCTGGACATGTACTGGCTTAAACAGGGGGACACGTCTAGCACTGCAGGATTTGAGTCCCTGGCGGCGTAGTGTGTTACTGATGGTAGGCTTTGTTACTTTGGTCCCAGCTCTCTGCAGGTCCTTCACTAGGTCCCCCCGTGTGGTTCTGGGAATTTTGCTCACCGTTCTTGTGATCATTTTGACCCCACGGGGTGAGATCTTGCGTGGAGCCCCAGATCGAGGGAGATTATCAGTGGTCTTGTATGTCTTCCATTTCCTAATAATTGCTCCCACAGTTGATTTCTTCAAACCAAGCTGCTTACCTATTGCAGATTCAGTCTTCCCAGCCTGGTGCAGGTCTACAATTTTGTTTCTGGTGTCCTTTGACAGCTCTTTGGTCTTGGCCATAGTGGAGTTTGGAGTGTGACTGTTTGAGGTTGTGGACAGGTGTCTTTTATACTGATAACAAGTTCAAACAGGTGCCATTAATACAGGTAACGAGTGGAGGACAGAGGAGCCTCTTAAAGAAGAAGTTACAGGTCTGTGAGAGCCAGAAATCTTGCTTGTTTGTAGGTGACCAAATACTTATTTTCCACCATAATTTGCAAATAAATTCATTAAAAATCCTACAATGTGATTTTCTGGATTTTTTTCCCTCAATGTGTCTGTCATAGTTGAAGTGTACCTATGATGAAAATTACAGGCCTCTCTCATCTTTTTAAGTGGGAGAACTTGCACAATTGGTGGCTGACTAAATACTTTTTTTCCCCACTGTATCAGCTGGTAGAGTCAAAGTGATTGATTGATACTCATCTGTTTCCATGTTCACTTGAAGGGGAGTGATGTTAAAAGAAAGGTCACTTACACAAACACTGACTCTAATCCCTTATCCAACTGGTTTACTAAGTGTGTATACCTGCTGGTCTTGTGCTGTCAGGTCAGGGGGTGGACACTCCACTGTCAGAGCCGGGGCTCCAGCAGGCAGAGGCTGCAGGACTGTACCTCAGAGAGCTCAGGTTCTCCAACGTGTTTGTCAGTAACCTACAGCGCGCCAGACAGGTGAGTTCTCCTGAGATGTCAATGGTGCTCCACGTGATGTCAATTTAGGTCACAGTTAGCTGACCACTAATCTCATCCACCCATCCGGCTCTATGTAGCAATTGAGCCTAGGAACAAGGTTAGATGACCACCAGAAAGATTAACAATGCACAGCAGATGTAGAATGTAACCTCTATTTAGTTTAGATTCCCAGTGTGTGACTTAGAATTGTGGGCACCGGCTGTACTGTCATTGCCTGTATATTTTTGCACAAAATGGCAGAAGATGTTGGGAACTGATGTAAAAGTAAAATTATTCCCTACAACAACACCTTTTCAGTGGGAAACACTCAGATAAGACATTAAAATCACTTCAATAATTCCTGGGACAAAACTTCTCAATTGTATATGTTACTGTGAAGGAGGGAAGAGAGCAGAGGATATATTCAACCACAGATATAGACTACAGGATATGAGAAATGTCAGTGGGTAGAACTAGAAGTACAGTAACGAAGGCAATGTTAGTATCTCGTAATGGCCTAGTAGCTGATTTGGGTGCAGAGATTAAGACAATGCTGTTATTGTTCACACATCCTTATCCTTTGTCAGACTGCAGAAATCATTATGAGAAACAATGTTCACTCCTCGGGCGTTGAAGTGGTCTTTGACCCCTTACTCAGAGAGAGGGTAAGTCTTTCATATGCCTCCTATTTCCTATTGCATGTGTGTAGTATACAATTGATCTAACCCAGTCTACCTCAACAGGGACCTTAGAGTTTGACATTCAAATATAATGCATAAAAAATTATCATCAAAGTGGTTCATCAATCATACAGGGTTTTGGGATCGCAGAAGGACGGCCCAAGGAGGATCTGAAGAACATGGCTAACGCAGCCGGCCAGTCGTGTCGAGACTATACTCCTCCTGGAGGGGAGACCTTGGAACAGGTTAGTCTGTGATCTGAACATTTTATCAGCTTTCCCTTTGGTCCTGCTGTTGGCCTGCTGCTGACAGCTCAGAGCTGGATTCCATGGCCAACAGTGCCATGCAGTGGTTCAACTCGGAACTTCCGGGCAGAAGCTCAACACACAGTTAATAGATTTCTTTCTTCTAGGGAGATAAGTATTATTTTAGTCGTTGAATAATTTAAACGTGTGTCTGTGTCTCCCTCCAGGTAAGACTGCGATGCAAGAAGTTTCTAAAGGCCCTTTACCAGCGCATGGTTGACGACCACGGCTGCTCAGGACAGAGTTCTGCTGCTATAGGGACAGAGGGCGGAGCCGGGGCCGGTGCAGTCGATTCTGGCACAGATGGGCCCCTGGCTGGTCTGCCTGACGATGGGATGGAGGGTGTCCCTGTCCATGCCCTGGTGGTGAGCCACGGGGCCTACATCCGCGTGGCCGTGAGACATTTTGTGGAGGACCTGCAGTGCTCTCTGCCTCAGGGCCTGAAGATGTCCAAGGTGTTGTCAGCCTGCCCCAACACAGGCATCAGCCGCTTTGTCCTCACCGTGTCTCCCAGTGAGTCTGGCCTGGCGCTCTCTGCTGTCCGCTGTGTTTTCACCAACAGGAAGGACCACCTGACCTCGCGTAACATATGTTACATCACACATTAAAGATAGACAAGGCAACACAAAAGGTTTAGTCACTACTCTGTTCTGTTTAAATAGTATTTACTGTAGCTTACAAACCACTAAAAGTAAAGAATATCTGGGACAGGGACCTGTCTACTGTTGATGATGAGTTGGGGGAGATTTGAGTAGGGTCATCGAAGAACCCTAATCACCAATTGATTCATTGTTCATTTTGTACACAGGGTAAATACATTTAGCATTTTTGCACAGTTTATATCATCGCCTGTTTTAAAGCTTTTTAAGTAACCTCCACATTGTATGACCTATGTAACCATAGTGACCTAGGCTCTTTTATGCATATGTATTGGAAGTGCTCCACAGTGGAGAGATTTTGGAGACCGGTATCTTCTACCCTATCTGATGTTCTTGTTGGAGTCACTATACCTGTCCTTAATGATGACTCATCACGCACACTGTCACTCCAACAATGATGTATAATGCTGACAGGTTTAACAACAGCAGAAAAGATGCTGGCACTGCGATGGCAATTACACAAAAAAATGTACTACCTCAGTTGTTCTTTTGATTGTTTGATTCTGTATTTATTTTGCTAGAGATCGGGGTGGGTTGTTTGAGAGGTCGGATGGTGCAGCTTGAATCAGTCAGAAGTTGGATCCATGTCCCTGTTGTAATATCATGTATTTATTTTACATAATTTCTTGCTCCGTTGTCATTGAGGTTTGTCTGTTTTCCCGGTCTATTGAAAAATGTAATCAGAAATTGATCACAAGAAAGGAATGACTACTGTTACCTGACCACAGACAATTACACTGAGTAGTAGAGGACAGAACGTATTATGGGAATACAGGGTAAATGATTTGCTCTTTAGCTCTCAATGGACCCTTTTTTTTACTGTAGATCATTGCTCAGTACAAATTCTGCAAAACTATTTGCAGGATGTATGTATGTCCTGTGTCAGTGGATTTCCCAGTCTTCCTATAATTATCCATGGAATGTTCTAGAAAAACTAAACTCTTCCTGTGTCATAGTCCAATGAAATTAGGACTTGTTTGGAATGTTTTAGTGTGGATAATGTAATGGTTTGTTTCCACTACTAAGTCGATCACGTTGAAGATTTAGTTGTATTGTTTTTGTCATATTATACCAAAGGCAGAAAAGTGTGAGGAATGTCAGTATCTTTTAAAGCGTTTACAATTCAACATATGGAGTTATCTCTTATTGTTGTCCATGTCCATTACAAGATAATAAATTATACGCTATCAAAAGGTGGTGTCTTTTCTGGGAGAATGGTGTGCTTTGTATGAATTCAACAGCAAGAGTGCAAGCAACCAGTCGCTGCTACATAGTTACAATTATATCAGACACTTGTATCATAACTGTTGAACCATAGTTCACCATATACTCAGACATGGCCGTACCACTGGAATACTATTTTTACAAGATGGCTAAGAGCGGGGGATACTAATGTTTACAAACTAGCTAAAGGTTACACATTTACAGTTTTTTTTCTGTATTGTTACACATTGTCATTTTCATATGCAAGCAGTATACAGTATTACAGTATTGTTTGGTATTTTTGTATTGATTAATCACAATCAAAAAAAGGCTTCAATATTGGTGTTTAACATGTTCAATGCCCATGTATCTCAAGCGTCCATAAATGGTCACAAGCTTCCTCTGATCTTGCACGAATTTAATCGTCACTAAAGGTTGCATAAGAGGCAATAGAGTGTGCAAGTCTTGTAGTTTCTTTATGCAGAGCAGGATTTGAACCCGTGCACGTTTCCAGGTTGGGAAATATCAGGTTTAATCACCTGAGGGGCCACTTCAGAGTTAGACTTTCTCATGTTTAAAACATGATAGAAATCACTTTGTTTCAGTGCTCAGGCCGAGAGTGACAGGTCAAAGAACTGGGGCAATTGACAATTATGCTGCAGCTACTGACCTGTGTCTAGATTGTTCCAGAGACAACCATGAGTAATGTTCCAAAGGCACCAGTGGCAGCATAAACATCTGTACTAAATCTGATCCTTCAACATGAATGTGTGGATTTGCTTAAATCTTTATTCAACTCTTCCTTTGAAGGAATATTGCAATATTTGAATAAACTGCCTTGAAAATATTGATAAATATCTACAGTATCATATCAATCTAAAAAATGTGCCTTCACCCATGACCACCGCTGAGATTTTTAAGGCTCCTCTCAGACGTGACACCTCAAAGTGAAACAGGACAAAGGTTAGTGGTCACCGTAATGTGTTCCTTTGACTAAAATACCTCCAACATGTTACTTAGTGAGAGTGAAACAAAAATAGAATGTGGAAATGTTTATTTTTAGACAATGATGGTTTGGCAGAAACTCAGATATGCCCATTTTCTCCATAATGAGATGCGGAAACGTGAGACACGCAACCTTAATGACTGAAGCTCGAAGTGAATGAGTCAATGGTCAACCTGCTTACTCACTTAATGTGACACATAGAGCTTCCTCACACATTTAGTCTGTACTTATATGCTTGCATCATATTTAGAATTATAGGATGAAGTGGCTGTGAGTATACAGTTCTTCATCCTGAATTTCTAAAATATTGATCTAAAATAGAATAAAATAGAAATAAATTAATTGGAAAAAGTCATATTTTCTTCATCAACATAACACCTTTTTTCAAGATAAATGTCACCAGCCCTCACACACATAGCCTACTCATAACTTACAGGTTTTCAGAATTCCTCTTTAACAGTTAAGCATCTATATAAATAGGCTACTATAAATAACAATAAATGAATGGATTTAAATAAATAAATACTTGCTTCTTGGAATTGGCTTTATTTCATGCGTTTGGTGGCCAGCATCTATTACCTGTCGTTTCTATTTGTTCTGATACCCTGTATAGTGGACCATTCATTTGAAATTAAATGTTTCACTTGAAGAAAATGCATTATAACATGCAGGCCTACTGGCATATTCAACATTGTAGTAGGCCTAATTTTAGATGGAATGTGTTTAAGTTTCATATCAATAGTATTGTCCTGCAGGCTTCTTGCATTGTAGAACATTTAATAAAGTGACTTCAGCTCATCTCCCTTTTTTCTTCAAAAAATATGCAACATTATTTCGGGTTTCAGCATGATTCTCATAATAATCCTCCCCGTAAACAGAGCTCAATCAAATACAGAATGTCCTACAATTAAAAAGCACGGAAACCAATAATTACTTACTGCACTATAGTGAAGAATGACCTAAATAAAATGTTCCAATGTGGTCCTTTTTTGGCTACAATTTCATCTTATAACTACATATAAATTACTAATATGCCCTAATAAGGGTGTCACGGTCCGACCTTCTGGTTAAAACATTCAGGGTTGTTTCCAGACCAGCTGGAAAAGACCCAACGTGAACATATACATAGCTTACATTGATAAACCCAGGTGTACAACTGCGAGTGTCCTGTCCTCTTATCCCATCATTCCATTCATGATACGGGGGCTGGGAGGGGGGTTTAGGGAATGCACGTTCCACGGGTCGTCGGAGAGAGACTGAGGGGTCTCCCGGGAGATGTTGCGTCCCTCGGGGAGTTCAGTCTCCTGGTCCATCTCCAAGATGTCATCCAGCTCCTGCATAGCCCGGGAGTCCTCATCCTCCTCCGTTTTACCCAGAATGTTGTACGGATCAGAAGGGTCAACCACCCGGTGTCTCTTCTCCCGGTGCAAGAGGCGCTCCAGGGGCACAGTGTTCTTCTCCGACAAGAAGAGGGAGGTTTGTGGTAGATTCTGACCCACCGTGTACACTTGCTTTATCCCTTCCAAGTTGAGCAGAATACCAGTTCTGCAAGAGTAGTACACGTTGCGGTGGTTTTCCAAAAGCTTGTGGTTAAAAAGACAGTCTTCCTTGTGGCAAACAGTCTGTAAACAGATACATGTATTAATTTACTCAAACTGACCATTTAGAAACGTACATCAATTAACTTAATTGTCAAAGTGTTACTGAAGTACTAAACACAAGAACACTTCGACCAATGTAAAAAATTGATATTATATCGGCTGTATGTTTAGATAAAGTGGTCTGAAATCCGTGCGTAAAAGCGCATTTTTGTTAGGCATGTGACAGAAAGAGCTCAAATGAGGAAACTTCTCTCACGAGTATTATTCAAAATGTGAAAACATGTATTTTAATCCAATGGGTAATACAAATTGGCATTTACTTACAGAGCTGAAAGGGTTTCCCAGGGCATCCATGCACAGGTAGCGGTTACTTTTGACTCCAAGTATCGCCACGCGATCTCTTGTTTCCGCCTTCAATAAAATCACACCTGTTGACGAAATGAATTGTGTTAGCCTATAGAAGCAGATTAAAGCCAAATAATTAAAACCAAATTTCAATTAAAACAAACGCCAATAACGTAATAAGAACTTACTGTATGAGCTTCGAAGTGTGGTTTTGCGCAAGTGGCCATTTAAACTGATCTCAAGGTAGAAATTGTTCACGTCTGAAGACGTCTGCAGGTGTACGTATCTTCTCGGATTCCCCCAGTTGGATCCCAGGAGAGGTGATGGGTTTGGAAAAGCGTCTACTAGTCGAAATCCCTGAAGAACAGCCAGTAAGAGCACAAGGACGGCGTCCCTCATCCTAGATTTCTTGGTTATTTCCATCTTTTCCCCAAAGAACACCGAAAATGTATCCAGAGATTTCGGATGTAGCTGTGAGTTCTGCAGCAAGCTGTTTGCAAACTTCAGCTGATCTGATGGTCCAAAGTTTGAGAACGGCTCTATTTAAAGGGACCGAAGTGCCACTCCTGCTCACATCCTTTAGCCTACGCAGCGCTCGCCCCCAACGCAGATGTGGGTCTTTCTCTCGGCGGAAGGAAGCGGGTGCATCTCCACCTGACTGTTTGTCTAAAGGTATTGGTCACCAAATAACGTAGTAGTCTCATTGAGCAATGTCTGTACAAAAGTGACGTTTTTTTTTTTTTTCTTCAAACATCAGCACTTTCATAATCATGATCCTTGGACTAATCTTTAAATCACACATGTCATCACAGTGTGTGCATATACCCCTCTGTCCAGTAAGCATATTATAATAGACCTAGATCTTTTTTAGAGATATAGAAACATATGAATAATGTCACATTGAAAACACTGATGTCAAGGATAAGCACTTTATTGAATCCAGTTTTACCCATTTTATAAAGCTATTGATAATCTATACAACCAATTCCCAAGGTTTCCTAGCCTTAGTCGATACAACCTATTCCCAACACCTTTCCAATGTTTTGAAAACTGAATTTTATGATAATAATTTAACATTATGGTACAATCTGTTCAAATTAAATGAAAAGATAACATCTTAGCTTAGATCAATATTTGACCATTTAAAAACACTGATCTAATTTAGTGTAGTATTTCTATCTAGTATTTTCTATTTCATAATAAAAACACAAATCCATGCCTGAATAATACTGATTAAGCTCCAAATTAACACTACACTGTGTGTATAGGTGATGATGACTGGGGGAGCTAGACTTACTCTAGTCTACAGTCCAATCTTACCCCTTGAGGGGGTAACTTTGTATACTCTTGACTCATGTGTAGAATTAACACTGCCACTTCTTGTTTAGGTTACCTCCTACACGCATTGTACAACCATTGTCCTGTCTTACTTTGGATTCCTACACACAGTGGTGTAAAGTACTACTTAAGTCGTTTTTTGGGGTATCTGTACTTTACTTTACTATTTATATTTATGGCAACTTTTACTTTTACTTCACTACATTCCTAAAGAAAATGATGTACTTTTTACTCCATATATTTACCCTGACACCCAAAAGTACTCCTTACATTTTGACAGGAAAATGGTCCAATTCACACACTTATCAAGAGAACATCCCTGGTCATCCCTACTGCCTCTGATCTGGTGGACTCACTAAACACAAATGTTTCGTTTGTAGATTATGTCTGAGTGTTGGAGTGTGCCCCTGGCTATCCATAGATAAATAAAAAACAAGAAAATTGTGCCGTCTGGTTTGCTTAATATAAGGAATTTGAAATGGTTTATACTTTTACTTTTAGTTGCAGTTGTGTTTGAACTTGAGTGAATTACTGGTGTGTTCTCTTCAACCCATTTGTGTCCAGGCAAAATGCAGGATCCTATGTCCATTGGAGGCAAGTCCTTGTATTTGTGGGGACACTTGATCTCGAGGACCGTATACCCATGGCAGTCGTCCAGGAAATCCCATCAGGCGAATCAGATAGGAAGGGTAGGGCATGGTAAACAACTAGGCCTGAGGGTTTCAGGTGAAAGTTGATGTGCTGGTCTGTCATCTGCCGACAGCATTCCTTTCTTGTAGTTTCCTTATGCTCAATGTCCCATTTCACTGCGGGCACATGGGAAATGCTAACAGTGTCATACTACATGATGGTCTTCACAGCTGACTCACTGTTGTAGTGAATGACCTTGTGCAATCACCCTGTTGAAGGTTGGGGAATAGGGACTTTCCTTCTGGGAATAACTTGGGCCAACCTGTATGGGACTGGTGGGCAATGTTCCCTCTAAGATCCCCGGGGCTGCCACACAGAAGAAATATCAGCCTGCGCAGAGAAGCACGAGATTGAACTTCACTTAGTTTTCTAGTTTTCCCCTTTAGTTAACACTATCAATGTTTCCCTCTACTGTGGGAATTGTGATCGAATCAACGCAATATTAGCAACTTTCAATGCAACATACCGAAACAAAATGAACTATGCAAGACTTACTATGCAAAATGAACTATGCAAGAGATTTTCTAGTAGGCAGAGTGCAATTGGAGTAGGATTCTATTGCATTGACAGACACGACTCAGGCCCACACTCTACACAGACCGGTGCGCCATAACCAATCAGAGCTGCAGTATCCCTATATGCAAATAGACCATTGCCATATATGGATCTGTTCCGTTCACTTTGAACTGTACTGTGTTTACAGCATGAGTGGTCGAGAGTAGAAGTGCTTGTTTTGAGATCAAAACATGTAGCCACGTGTGCACATTTGTTCATATTCTTTGCTAGTAATTTAGTTATTAGCCCAGTTATTGCTAATTTCTAGTCATCAATGGGGGAGTGGTTGCTTCCTACAAGAGCACAAAACATATGCATTTCTAGACATTATGATCAAATAGGCACAATTGGCCTACTTGGCCACTGTTATAACTGTAACTTAAAGCGGATACAGCCTCAGTGTTCACAGTAAATGTGCGGCAGAAGTTGCACAGAATATTTACAACTTTAAAGTTTGCGCTCAGCAGACCTGAAATTTGCTTGGTGCCCAAAATTTTTTTAACGAACATTGCCATTGGGTATAGTTCATCTTCTGACTCAGAGGCCGTGACTGTATCACTCTCACTCCTGACTAAAACCACTGATGACGGGCAGAATCTGATGTAGCTGAGCAAGAGCTTCCTGCTGTTCCTTATTGGAGAGGCCTGGTGGATTTAGCTGTTTCCTACATTTGCAGGTGACCTCCTTGCCATGCCTTGGGTGTGACATGTCTAGGTTTTCTGCTGCACAGCTTGTTACATTTCTCTTCTGATAGCCTTTCCACAGACACCTAATGTCAGTGCATGAGAACTCTCTATTGGCAGTGGCTTGTGTGCACCCCTCAACAGCAAACAAAACAGGAACTATGTAGCTGCAGCACAAGTGCAGTGGGTTGCCACTACATAGCCATTCTTCGTGTCTAGACACACCCAAGGTTTGTATGGCAGTTCACTGACTCTCTGGCCTGGGTCCACTGTGGCTGCCGCAAATGTAACTGGGCTTTCTTCAGATAAGTCATGGCCTGATGCTCTTTAGATGACCACACACATAGTAATTGTATTCATCAAGTGATTTGTACGCATGTAACGCTTCACCTGTGCAGGGACCAGAGGTATTAATTAGGTAATTATATATGGACATATATTGAACAGGAGGTAATTTGTTGGGGTCTGTATACCACCCTTCTTGTAAACTGTATGGGTCTTCAATGCAAAGTTGTAATTTTTGTTGGTATCTTTTGTGGTCAGTGTTCTCCAATGTAAGTTCAGCCATAATTGTGTTCCTGATCTATTCTCTACCTCTCTTCACTCTTTCTCTTCTCTGCTTTTCACTCCCTCTCTCCTCTCTGCTTCTCACTCCCTCTCTCCTCTCTGCTTCTCACTCCCTCTCTCCTCTCTGCCTGACTCTGCCTTCTCTGACCTCTTTTCTTGCCTCACTCCCATATGTTTGGACCCCCTCTGGCACTGTAAAACAGTTTACACTTATTGTTTTGTGATATATTATGTAGTCTACTATTATTTTCAGCTAAATTATGTGCGCTTGTTTTTTTCTTCATTGGGATAGCGCAGAAGTGTCTCAGAGTGGGAGTGCTGATTTAGGGTCAGCTTAACCTTTTATAGATTATATTGAATGAACAAGGGGGGAAACGTAACGCAATTGAGAATCGATTCATGTTTAGATAGAGTATTTGGCTGTTTTGGGCTGCCAGAGTGTCACGATCGTCGTAGGAAGTAGACCAAGGCGCAGCGTGATGAACGAACATGTTTATTTATCATTAGCGATAAACACGGACAGTAAACAAAACAACAAACGACTCGTAACGTCCTAGGTAACTTAGACCAACACGGAACAAGAACCCACAAACAGACAGTTTAAATATGGCTCCCAATCAGAGACAACCAGCCACAGCTGACACTCGTTGCCTCTGATTGGGAGTCACTCAGGCCAACATAGAAATAAACAAACTAGAACTCCCAACATAGAATTACACCACATAGAACGAACACACCCTGGCTCAACATATAGAGTCCCAGCGCCAGGGTGTGACAGTACCCCCCCCTAAAGGCGCGGACTGCGACTGCGCCTCAACCAGAGCAAAACAGGGGAGGGCTGGGTGGGCATTCCTCCTCGGCGGCGGTTCTGGCTCCGGGCTTGCCCACCACCCTCCAATAATCCCCCCATAACGCCCCTGGTCCGGTCTGGCCCCGCTGGCTGGAGCTGAACTGGACGTAGTATGAGCGGATAGCTTCAGCTCCGTTGTGGAGCAGTTGACCGGTACCTGATTAGGCACCGGTGACCCAGGCACGGGTTGTGCCGGACTGACGACGCGCACCCCTGGCTTGGTGCGTGAGGCAGGAACGGACCGGACCGGGCTGACGATGCGCACCCCTGGCTTGGTGTGTGGAGCAGCAACGGGCCGGACCGGACTGACGATACGCACCCCTGGCTTGGTGCGTGGAGCAGGAACGGACCGGACTGGGCTGACGATGCGCACCCCTGGCTTGGTGCGTGGAGCCGGAACGGGCCTCACCGGACTGACGACTCGCACCCCTGGCTTGGTGCGTGGAGCAGCGACGGGCTGGACCAGGCTGACGACTCGCACCCCTGGCTTGGTGCGAGTAGCAGGAACGGGCTGGACCAGGCTGACGACTCGCACCCCTGGCTTGGTGCGAGTGGCAGGAACAGGCCGGGCCGGGCTGGCGACGCGCACCCCTGGCTTGGTGCGTGGAGCAGGAACGGACCGGACCGGGCTGGCGACGTGCACCGTAGACTTGGTGCGAGTGGCAGGAACAGGCCGGGCCGGGCTGGCGACGCGCACCGTAGGCTTGGTGCGAGGGGCAGGAACAGGCCGGGCCGGGCTG